GTCCTACCCCTTCACTCCCCCATACTATCGGAGGGTGGGTGTGAGCGAGCGGCTGCGTGGAGTTTAGTTGCTGGCTGGGGTTAAACCTAGACCCTCCCAGGGCTAGGACAGCACCATGGCTTCACCCAGTGCCTTGAACCCCCAAATCAGAGTCCAGAGACCCTGGTCTGCCTCCTCCTCCAGACGATGCCCCGGCCACGGCGTCTTCCCCAGCCCAGGCCCCGGTGGTGTCCGTGCCGGGGCAGAGTGCGGCTCTGCCTTCCCAGCACGCGACACTGCTGGCCCTCGGGAACTGCTTTTTTGTGGACAGAACTGGCCTGGCTGTGAGCGGGGCAGCCGTGGGGACTGTTTGTACCTGGCGCATAAACAGATGCCATCTGGGACGAGAGAGCTGTTTATTTAGTTAAGAGATTTCTTGGCTCCCCTGCACGGACGTAAACAGGCGACAGAAAGGCATATGCCAGACCCCTACAGAGCCCGTCCACACAGGCCCTCGCTGCTGCAAACCCCAAGGACCAGGGATGGGGCTCCCAGAGGTGCCCCGATGCCAGCACCCCCCTGTCCCCGGGCTGCAGGGAGCAGGTGATGCCACCTCCTCTGGCACTGAGCCGGTGGCCCTTCTCACGTGCCCTGTTCCCAAGGCTGGGATGGTGCAAGGATGCTCAGTGACATCCTGAAGCACCTCGGTGAAGGAAGAGCCACGTCTGCCCTGGCAGGAGGCTGGGCAGGGGGTGTGGGGGGGATGAGGACTCTGCTGCCTCGTCCTGCCCCCCTCACCCATGCCCAACGGTGCCTTTCAAAGGTGTTTGGGGATGTCCCAGGTTGGAGGTTTCTTGCAGGTTCCTGTGAGAAGAGACAGTTGCCCCCCAGGGCTCTGCAGCCCTTCGGTGTCCACAGGCTGAGCACTCCTCAAGTCAGAGCCAGCAGCCTCATCTCCATACCAAGCTCTCCAAAAAGCCTTCTGCTTCCCAGCTCGAGCTCACGCAACTTGACAATGGGGAGCCCTGAGTCTCCCCTAAGCTGCCTGAGCCATCCAAGACCATGCAGAGCAAAGGCTTTGGCCAGGAATGAGCAGATCTTGGAGAAAAGGAGGAAAACCCTGGAGAGGACCTACATCATCTCCCATGCTCAGAGAAGGCAATGGATTTCTCCAAACAAGATGAAACTAGAGTAAAATAAGATGCATAGCAAATCCCTGCTTAGCAAAGCTGCTGTAGCAAGTGCTGGGAATGTCTTGTTATCACATCATTAGTGCTGTTCTCATTAAAGCTTCCATCCACAGATGTGTTGCCACATTTCCAGGTGCCGTGGCGTGGGGCAGGTCTGCGGGAAGGAGGGGACTGGAGCCAGACAGCAGGACGTGGGAAAGCAGCTGGGGGAAAAGGAGCTGCCCCCGGGCAGAGGAAAAAGGGAAGGCAATGGACGTGCAGTGACTGGCTGCGGGTGTTACTGCCACCGCGGGCAGCTTT